TATTTAGTCATACGGAAGATGAGCATAAATCTCACCTACGTACTGTTTTTGAAAGATTAACTTCATATGGATTGACAATTAACGCTTCGAAATGTGTTTTCGGCGTTCCGGAAATATCTTTTTAGGCCATATAATCAATAAAGATGGTACCAAGCCTCTGACGAACAAAGTGGAACCGATACTTAACTACCCACTTCCTAAAACGGTAAAAGATTTGCAGAGATTTTTAGGATTTTTAAATTTTTACCGTCGATTTTTACCCAACGTAGCCCAGAATCAAATACATTTAACTTCGTATTTAAAAGGGGCTAAGAAAAATGATAAGACAATCCTGAATTTGTCTGAGGAAGCGCGGAGTGAATTTCAAAAGTGCAAACAGCTAATCGGTAATGCTGTTCTTTTGGCACACCCGAAGAAAGATGCCCAGTTGGTTTCACAGGTTGATGCGTCAGACTTCGCGATCGGTGGAACGCTATCACAAATAGTTGATAGAAATTTACAGCCTCTCGCATTTTTCTCACGAAAGCTTTCGCAGGCGGAAAGGAACTATAGTGCGTATGATCGAGAGCTATTGGCAGCTTATGCTGCTATTAGGCATTTTAAGCATATGTTGGAAGCACGGAACTTTTCTTTAATCACCGATCACAAACCGCTCACGTATGCATTCCGACAGCGTTTGGATAAGTGTTCACCTCGTCCGGCTAGGCAGTTAGACTTTATCTCACAATTCACCACTGAAATTCGCCATATAAAAGGTTCGGAGAATATCGCTGCCGACGTACTTTCGCGTATAGAAGCAATAAGCATGCCTAACCCTATCGACTATGAGGAAATCGCTAAAATGCAAGAAATCGACACAGAATTACAAACATTGCTTAAAGAGTCAAAAGTTCTACATCTCAAAAAAGTTACCTTACCGAATTGTAGCTTTTCGATATATTGCGATGTGTCAACAGGTAACGCCCGTCCTTACATTCCTCCGGCATTCCGTGAGAAAGTTTTTGCCACCTTGCACAATTTGTCTCACCCCGGCATTCGCGCATCAACAAAGTTAGTATGTTCACGGTTTGTTTGGTCTTCCATCCGCAAAGATTGCGCGAAATGGGCACGGCAGTGCATTCCGTGTGCCAGAAAGCAAAATTAAGCAGACATACTAGAACCCCGTTAATGAAGTTTCCAGACCAATCACAGAGGTTTGATCACGTCCACCTTGACCTTGTTGGTCCCCTACCTCCTTCTCAAAATAATTATTACTGTCTAACTATGATATATAGATTTACTAGATGGCCCGAAGCAGTACCCATACCAGACATAACAGCACGCACAGTAGCACAGGCTTTCTATGACCACTGGATTACTCGATTTGGTTGTCCGACTGTTATTACTACCGACCAAGGGCGACAGTTTGAAAGCGGCTTATTTCGAGCCCTTTCCCAATTATTGGGAATCAAGAGGATCAGGATGTCTCCGTACCACCCACAGGCAAACGGACTGATCGAGGAATTCCACCGTCCTTTGAAAGCTGCCTTAAAAGCGCACGATACCAGTGACTGGGTGGCTGCCCTTCCAACGCTGCTGATGGGTTTCCGCGCCGCTCTCAAAGAGGACATAGGAGCAACCACTTCTGAACTGGTGTATGGAAAGACTATCCGTCTCCCAGGAGAATTTTTCAATCCGACACCTCCGGATGCGTTCCCCAAACAGTTTGTGGAGGATTTAAAATCTCACTTTGCCAGTGTCCGCCCGACCACGACTTCTAGCCACGGTCAGCGAACATGTTTCATTCATCCACGCCTTCACAAGTCCACATATGTGTTTGTTCTACACGACGGAGTTAGAAAACCACTTCAAACTCCTTATGATGGACCATTTAATGTGCTAGAAAGACGAGATAAAACGTTTGATCTCGAAATAAAAGGGACTAAGCAAACGATCTCCATAGATAGACTGACACCCGCTTTTGTAACCATGGACTCTTTTCAAGTTGCTTCCAAGAGTGTGAAAAAAACTTCGGACATTTGTATCACCCGTTCTGGACGATTAATCCGACCCCCGCATCGGTATGTCACATTTCGTTGACACTGCGGAGGGAGTATGCAGCGGCAGCGCCAAACAGGCGATACGGACTTAAAAACTGTACAGAAAAGCGCCAATTGGTGAAACAGTAAACCCGTTTGGCAAACATACAGGCTGACGGGGAGAGAAGAATTTTCCCCGGCAGTCAAGGGGAACTACTTCAACAAATGTGTGCGTCTCTGTTTCGCCGAGATATGTGAACTTGTGTACTCGCATCTGTACTGTGCTCTGAATTTCTTAAGCCGTTATAATGTACCCGGCAACTGTTACTTTTCCTTATTAAATTTGATTATTAATTGTAACATGTCTATCTTAACTAAGATTTCGGCTTTCCTAGTTAATGTTAGGGATATTTTCGTATGCACGTGTACTCACCCTACAAAAAACTTCCCTTTCCGTGAAAATAATGATGCTAAATACGAATACGAAAAGGGAGTTTAAGAGTAAAAAAGCCCCCGTGTTTCATCTTCTAGAGGCTATCATATTCCATATTGAAGGTACTTTTCCTATAGCAAACTTACACCTTCGATTTGTTCATTTTATACATGTGCTAATTTCTATACTACCATATTTGTGTGGTAATTTCTTTTTATGTTATTTGATACCTTACTATGTGTTGTATATTGTGGGTAAGTTTCATTAAATTCTACATGTAACCTTTTCAGTAATCGTGATTTTTGTGATTTTTCCTTAATTTATGATAACCAGTGTATACAGATGGATCCAAGTCAAATGATCATGTCGGGATGGCATTTGTATTTGAAGATTACATAGAGGGCAGATGCCTGCACCATGCTTTCTCAATCCTAACATCTGAACTAACTGCAATATATTATGGTCTTTTGTACATCTCAAAGCTCTGCCACAAAAAGTTCATAGTTTATACAGACTCATATAGTGCTCTTAAATCGTTGGAAGCTTTTCCCAACACTCAGAATCCTGTGGTAGTGGATGTTCTCAAGATTCATATAAACTTAACGATTCGAGGATATGAAATCCTGTACTGCTGGGTTCCTGGGCATGCGGGAATAAAGGGAAATGAGCTTGCAGTTATCGCAGCAAAATCTGCTGTTGAACTGTCCAGTTGCCTCACCCCTTTTAGAGACATCTGCTGTGTCATCAAGGGCAAGATCCGAAAAAAAAAATGGCAGCAAATGTGGGACGTTCAGCTTCACAATACGTTAAAAAATGTAAAGCCTAGAATTGAGCATTGGGATTTTGCTGGAAATCGTAAATAGGAAGTTCTTTTGACTCGCCTCAGAATTGGTCACACTAGAGTGACACATAATCTCCTGAAAGCTGAAAAATGAGCCTATTTGTTTAAATTGTAATGTTTGTGTATCTATCTGTCCGTTATATTTTAATTGAGTGTCCATGTTTTAGTAGTCTTCATCAGAAATATTTTAATAGCTGTGACTTACCTCTCGACCGTTTAATCGGAAGAGAGGTCAATTGGAATTAATTTTATTATTTAAAAGAGACTGGCTTTTATTACCTAATGTAATTTGTTTTGAAGATTGTGTCTTGGATTTTAATGTGTGCTTTGAGTTTTTATATGACTTCATCCTCTGGATTTGGTCCACTTGTCTTTTTTTATTGTAATTTAATTTCATCAATTGTAATTATCCCATCTCGTGTTTGGTGCGTCATAATCATCTTTGGTTTTGCTCCAGTAACCTCTCACTCGCTCACCCCGGACTTCCAGATTTCTAGTCATATGTGCTTCCAACTACACCATGAAGGGACTTCGTAAGGAGGGAGAAAGTATCGTATAGATATATGGTACATTGCTAAGTTTATCCACACGATAGTATGTATATCTGAATTTTACTTTTAGCTTACTTTTAGCTTATTAGTACTTTGAGAAATTAAAGCCTTCCTTGCCTATTCAGGGTTTTCTCAACATAAAAGTGAAGGAAAATAACAGAATGAAATTAATGAGAGATCATAAAGTTTAGAGCATGTGTAGATATTAATATATTTTACATCAGAATTATTTTAAATAGTTGAATAAATTGAGTTGTGTTATAAAACGAATTTAAATCAATTTTTAGTTCATTTAAAATGGTGCTGCCACACAGCACAAAAAGTTCCTGGAAACTCCCACTTTTTTTATCAGTAAAACTTCTGGTTTTTCATATTTCAAGTTTGACAGCTATGGTTTAGATAAAGCAGTGAGACTTTTTATTTCAGCTAGAAATATTATAAATTATATCTGTATGTAAGCAACACATAAATAATTGCAATCTATTCTGCTTACCTAAAAAAATTAAATGTTAAGAAAAACTAACTGCAGAACCCATAAATTTGTTGTCAAAAATATGTAAAAGTAACTCTATTTGGAGGTATAGTGCTGTTTTGTGATTTTCCATAATTTCAGAATACTACCAAATGCTGTGAGCAGGTTCGTCTTTAGCAATCAAAAACTGCATGTACTATTTCTAAGTATGTACAACTATTTCTAAGTATAATTCTATGTTAAAATATCTAAGAGCCTAAATTTTAAATTGCTTAATATTGCTTATTGCCTCTTTCTTTCTAAGTAACATGATGGGGAGTTTTCCTTGTTGCATAATTATGTATTTTTAATCTCTCTTTACTTTTGATCACAGACAGAATTCTATTGTGGAGTCTGTCTGTAGAAAATGACTTTTCTAATAAGAAACAGTACTAGAATCTTTCTGTAAGTAGTAAGTTGTAACTGTGTCTAAATGAATGCATGACACTCATAATTTCCTACTGATGTGTGTTCCCTTATCCAGTGAAAAGGTTGGTAGGCAACTTGAGATAGACTGTGAAACTGAGCTGCATTTTGTTAATGTGCATAACAGACTGTGTGAGTTGGTATGATCATCAAGTTATTTAATATTGTTTTATATACAATAATTTTATTAGCAATTTTAATTGTATAATTTTTTATTTAGCTAACTGAATGGAAGGGCGAGGTGAAATTGGCGGCTATTGATAATGGCTTAGCTTTCCCATTTAAACATCCAGATTCCTGGCGAGCTTGTAAGTATCATAATATGGCATATTATTTACAGGAAAACTATTAATTGTATATGCTGAAGTTCTAAAAAAATACTGAATTTGTTCTGAAACAGATGTAGAGAGTGTAGTAGAAAAAATGCAACCTGAAGTGTATGCTCTTTTGATACCAGTACATGCTAACTTGATTGGTTCAATAGTTGTTAAATAAAATCAGAGTATAATAAGCCATTTAGAACAATTTCAGCATATATGTCACTCTTAATCAAATGATGATATACAACAGATACTAATCTTGCTGTAACAACACTTTGCACTTACATTACGAGTACATTTACAATTGCACTTACATTACGAGTGACTCAACAAGCAATTTCACATCATTTAAAATCATTGGGCATGATTTGAAAGCAGTGAAACTGGGTTCCATGTGAAATGAAGCCAAGAAACTATGCACGCCGATAAAAATCTGTTGAAATGTGAAATGTTGCTTATCAGGCATAAATGAGAAGGTTTTTTTTTTGCATCATGTAGTCACTGGTGTTGAAAAGTGGATCTACTACAACTCCAGACATGACAAAGCTGTTATCCTGTATGATAACACTTATTCATGTGTTGTGGCGCCGATCAAAGCCTACTTGGAAACACTCAAATGAGATGTTTTCTCCCTCCTAATGCATTCACAAGACATTGCTCCTTCTGATTGCTATTTGTCTCAGTTGATGACATATGAGCTGTCTGAGCAACGCTTCATGTCATATGGAGATACCAAAGATTGGGTTAATTTGTGGCTAACTTTGAAAGATGAAGTCAACGTAGTATCCTTATGCTGCTAGAAAGATTGAAATAGATTAGTGGCTAGCAATGGACAATACTTTGAATAAAACATAATATATCGTTCTTTCACAATACATGCCCAATTTTTAATAAAAAACATCGGAAACTTATTTGTACTTTCAATATATTTATGCACCATGTAAAATCCAAAAGTTTTTAGGATAATTTTGTAGGATGTGAAACAAATTTATTAAGATTCTTCTGGTAGATTGCTTTTAAATTCCAAGGTTTTAGATAAAAATTAATTTAGGTTGTTATAAAACATATTCTGAAGGCATGACTTAAACATTTTGAATATAAAAGATATGAAAAGTGTTTATTTGATGATAAAGTATAAGATGCATCTGTATTTGAATGTCAAATTTTCATTTAAATATAATTCTTCCTAGCTTGATCCAAGTATGTATCTAGTCAACATGTGAAAAGTTATAATTATCTAAAAATTTGCATTGAACCATAGTAACATTTCACTCCCTGACTTTTATGCAAAAAAAAAAAAAAAAAAAAAAAAAAAACCTACACTGCTGGTATGGCTGTTATGGGTCCTGAGTTGTGAATGCTCAGTGACCATCTCTGTCTTCACACAAATCCCGGGTAAAACTTCACAGTCCTGTAAGTCACTTGCTGCCATGCTTTGTTAATGGAAAATACTAAAATAATATCCTATTATTAATTATGTGGCACTGATTAGCTCAAAACCTTCGAAAATCATATATCGTAAATTTGAGTATTCATAACTTGAGATATCATTTGCCATCATCGGGCACTTTTTTTCAGATAATTTGTCTGTGAAAAAAAAAACTGTTCGTGTAATGAATTCGAGGTTCCCCTGTAATTTCCTTTTTCCTTTGGTCCAGTTACAAACTTGGCAATTTTTTATTTATTCCCAGTACCTATATCTGCATGGATATATACCTGTTAAAGTTTAATGAGAAATATCTTTCATCACATACATGCATACATATGCACTTCCTTTGTAATAATTTTCATGTTTTCTTACTGTATGATGTTTTTAAAACTCTGGGTCAATACCAAATCAAGTGCTCTCTATATATTTATACCTAAATGATGAAAATTATTTTGTCCTTAAATGAATGCCTTACCCTCCCCCCACTCCGAGTAACTTGCATGATGCTAGTTTAGATTACTTTTACTGTTAGCCTTTACTCATCTTGACATACTTGATTCACCAAAAATTTTATTAAATTTTAATATTTAGATCCATATTATTGGGCTTGGCTTCCTATTGCTAAAATACCTTTTTCTTCTGAAACCTGTGATCTTGTTTTGCCACAGCTTTCTGATATGAACTTTGTTCAAGATCTTTGTGATGATTTACATGATTTATTCCAAGTAAGTACTACAAAAATTCTTTTTCTTTAATATGAAAATCTCCATTCATGTTACCATATCATGTAATTGGAGTTATCATAATTTGTAATTTAGGTCATAGTTTTGTGATTGATGCTTCCTCCAATTATTGTTTCTCCATTAAAAAATGCCCTTGTTTTGAAACCGTAAGTTTTTTTAGCTTGGTTTTGCTCTCTTAGAGTTAATTTCTTTTCAGGAGGAATTTCCCATGCTCAGTTACTAGATCCTGAAAGTCTAACTATCGTGATTTACTATCCTTATTATTGAAAAAGGAAATATGACATTCTGACGTTCTGAGCAAATGCGAAATGACTATTTTCAGGCAAAAAGTGACAATGAAAGTTTTGTAGTATGAATAATATTCTAATGTAGGAAAGAAAAAAAAAATTACTTGTAGCAAATTTCGTGGAAAAAATATTTAAACTGTATTGTTTAGTGTAAAATATCTTGCATGCATATATTGGGTAATTGTAATAGAAGGTGATCTTTTTACTTTGTAGCTGTAATTGGTAATTTTATAGACACTGAACAAGCTATTCAAAAGATGCAAAAGTCTAAAGGGTATTTTTAAAAATGCATTTCATATCAAAATTGGTTGGAAATTAAACTGACAGGCAAAAAAGGGCATTTCCGTATCTCGTAAATCACTTCTATTCTGATGTTTTATAACTAACTGATAATCTAAACAAAATTTATTTTAAATTTGTGTAATCTAATATTTTGTTTAACGCTGATTTGTACCTGCTCAAAAAAGGGTCTGACAAATGATTTTCAGCAAAAAAAGAAGCCCTCACGCAGAAGGAGATGCATTTTCAATCAGTATGGTTTTGTAGATGTCTTTTTATAACTGATATATTCATTTTGTAGACCAGCTCATTTCATTTTAAACTAAGTAATTAAATATATATTTTGAAACCTGCTTTAGATAATTTTTTTGAAATCTATTCTTTACTATGTTGCACTAATATTTATTTTGTTATACAAAATTATTTTTTCCCTGCAATTGTATGCAATACTTTAGCCCTAAAAGTTTCAGTTCTTAAAATCTAGTTCTGCTTAATTTATCACTCTTAATTTCAGATGTGATAATGTTCCTTCTGCATCTGTTATGGTTACTGTAAAATATATCATTGCTAAATTTTATTTCTGTATTTTACAAATGCCAAACATTAGCACCTAAGTCATTAGTTCACAAACTCTCCAATACTTTTTTTAACAATGTCCTCATACCGAGGAAATGCAAGACAATTATTTATATGTTAAAAAATCGTAGGCTGATTGGATGATTGGAGTCACTTAAAACACAGTTTGGGGTATTCAGCACTCCAGTTCTGTAGTGGTGGTCTCGCAAACAGTTCTCTGCAGTCAGACGTCTAAATAGAACCACTGCTGTCTTTCTCTGAAAACTGGAAATGGAAAAAATCTCTTCTCCCGGAATCCTATATCTCTTATCCATAGCATGTTGAATTGCATTCTATTTAAGAATTTTCTTAAGAATCAGGTTAATAAACAATTTAGTCATATGAAGAGAAAGTAGTTGATAAATGCATTGCTTTATCAAAGTTCCTTTCTTAGTGAATGTATCAGCTTTTTCATTGCCCATAATTCTACAGTGGGCTAGAATCTATTAGAAAGATTTTGTGTGCCAGTGCCTTAAGAAAAGGCCTACAGTTTAAGATTTTTTGGAAACTTTTGATTAATCAAAAGGCTTGAAGTGTAATTTTAGGAATCTGACAATATGAGAGTCAAGTGGCTACGAATTGACAGTTGTTGAGCACTGTCTTTGATTTCACCATCCATGGCATAATAAGAGGACCCATTAATAAGTAGAAACTGAAAAAGTCATTATAGCTATCTGCTCCAAAACAGCACTCTCTCTCTAACATAGAATCGTCACCGTAGACACTCATCCGCTCAATTTGAGGATAACGAACCCCGAATAGTCTCCATTACAATACATTGTAATTGTACATCGCTCATTTTGTTTATGACAACTCTTTATATAAGATCAAGATTTATATTCAAGTTCAAAAAGTCCAAGAGGGACAAGGCGCAGAAGGTAAAATTAGATAATCTCAGATCAATCCCAAAGCATCAGATTCTCTGAGCAGCCAAGATAAAAGCCAGTTTGAGTTTTAAGATTTCTAGAAATTTCATTATTATAGTTCCTCTAAAAAAGTTGTTGGGCAAATGTACAAGCTTCTGGTATAATAAGATCACTTTTCTTGTAATAAAATCATGAACAGTTTCCAAATCAGTTAAAAGCTGCATTGCAAGAATTGGAGTAGATTTCACTGCCCCAGTAATTATGTGTAACGCTTGGTTCTGGAAGACTTTGAGGGTCTGGTCCATATTCTCCAAAGACGTGTTGAGGATCTCGCTACAGTAACCAATAATTTGTTGAACATATAATTTGTAAGTAGTCATATCACATAAGTTTGTCTCCATGTCACAGCCCCTAGCCAGCCAGACGTTTTAAGATAGAGAATCTTTTCAATCGTCCAAACCAAATCGTCAGCAGGAAAAGGGCAGAATCTACCTACAGTGCCAGAGTATTTGGTAAATCATTAATAAAAGCATTAAAAAGAATTGGGCTGATAACTGTTCCCTGCAGGGAGGCCAGTTTCAGTTCAGGAAAACACTTGGATAAGAAATTCTTAATCCATACAAATAACCTTCCATTTATTCCCGAGTTCGGTAATTTTTTAATGGTACACAGTCTCCATACTTTACCTTAATGGCTTGACTAAGAGACCTGTTGTATAGTGGAATCATATTTTCTAAATCCAGCTTGTTTAGGAGACAAAAGACTGCTACTCTCCAGAAACCAAGTTAGTCTGGGGACTATCATCTTTTCCATAATCTTCAACAAAACACTAGTCAGTGCAATAGGTTAATAGATTTTAATATCTGCAGGTTTATCCATTTTCAAAATAGTGATAATAATGGCTTTTTTTCCCACTTCTTCAGTACACAAGAGTTTCAACTATGATTAAAAATAGATAGAAGGGTCATTTGAGCATTATATCCTAGATGTATATTATCTGGGCCTAGATATTTTTCCATCTTTAGGAAATCAGTAGCTTCTTCTAGTTCCAAAATGTCGCCCAGCTCCAATAGTCCTATGGGAGTCCCTTGAAATGTCTGGGATGCAGTCCAGCTGACACTTTGTTCATAGGCAGTTAATGCATGATGCATTGCAGAAGTCTGGTCAAGATCGGCAGATGTTCAGACGTTATTTTTATAACCATTCAACAATTGCCCAGCATCCCTTCCACCACAGTGCTGATATTCTCACGTGTTTATTGTTGTCCTGGATGTTGTCTGTCTCATGGTTCATCGAAAATGCTTTAACATTCATGTTTATGTCAACAGCTGGTTATTTAAACCCTTTGCGCCAGCATATTGATGAACTGAGAACCCTCTGGAGATGAGTGTGGGATATATGCATCAGTCCCAACTGACACTAGCAGCTGGGAGATGCACTAGTAAATCACTGCTTGCATTGATCTTCCAGATGGGTATAGCTTATATGCAGTCAAACATACACATTCTTTTAGAATTTTTTAAATCACCAGATGGCACTTTGTGTCAATTACAATTAGCTTATTTGAACATATAAATTGTTGACCTTGTGTCCGTGAAGCACTTTCTGATTCTGGTGATTTGTTTGGATGCATAAGCATGTGATATAAAGTAAACAAAACCCAGCTGACATACAGTTGAGGCCTCACATAATATAAACAATGGGCAGTTTCTGTTGCTACAAATTTGTTTTTTCCAATGAGAAGACTGGGAGGGAAGCTGTGGTTTTAGAAACTCCCGTTTGTATTCAGTTTGCGTCTTCTTTAGACAGCAGATGTAAGGATTTTGCACCAGTTAAGGTAATTAAACTAATCATGCCATGTCTAAGGAAAAGAAGTTTTTAATGGAAGAAGAGTATATTTGAATTGTAAACAAGCCCATGAGTGACTATTTTGACACTGAAGACTAGATTTAAGTGCGGATAGCAATTTGAATACTGAATTTTGTCAGAGACTGAATTGGAAACTTGTTTATATTTCACCTCTCAATCCAACACAACAGTGGATACTCCATCATGAACTCAATCTGATAAGTAATTGAAGGCTGATGAATTTATGGGTATTGTGGAAGTAAATTTAATTCAAAGTTATGTGAATGAAATTGATTTTTTCAGCATTTTTTATGGTGATCTAAAGAACATAATAGTTGAAGAAACTAATAATTTCTATGAACAAAAGGTGAGTGAAAATCCATCTTCATCCAAAATCAACATACTCCTGTAGATGTGCTTAAATGAGGGGATTCCTAGGATTAATAATTCTGCGTGGTATAATTAAGAAGCCAGATCTGAAAGTGTATTTCACAACTAATGAAATGCTAGCGACTAGACTATCACACTATCTTCCTTCTGAATCATTTATGCTATAATGTATAATCATATATTTTATTTTTTCTTACACATGTTTAGATAAAGATTTAGGTAAGTTTTGTACATTTCATGAAATGAGTCAAATAATTTGCATTTAGCTGTTAATTAAAAATTTGTTGGAATATCTTGGTATTAATATTTATGAATGTATTACTGTTAGATACCATTACAGAAAAAAATCAAAACTGATAAAAAATGTTTTGAATAAATTTTTTTTAAAGTTAGGCTTAGTGACATGAAATATCCCATCCTGTGAAATCATACTGCTGCAACAACACACCGTCTCCAAGGTGCAAAGTAATAGCGAAGCAGCGTGCTGTCCCATAAAAGGATTAAGTACCAATTACTGATGCATATATGGTACACCTGTCGTGAAGGTGTTAATACAATACAAAGTCCGTAATCCGGACTTGTCGGGACTTCGGCAATTCTGGATTAGGGGTTTTTCCAGATTATAGATCATAAGTTTAAATCTGTTAAGATGGCATGTAGAAATTATACAATTAAAAATAAGAAGCCATAATTTATG